CTTTGAAACTGACAATGGCTCCAGGCATGTGGGTCAGTGGTGCAGCCATGTTAGGTAAAGGAAGACATGGTTGGTATACTTCTTCTATTGAAAAAAGTGATTAAGATAAGAAGAGCAATGAGCAATTAAAATCTAAAACCCCAATCATCACCTGTCCCTTGAACACATTCCATTTTCATTTAAATACAGCATAGGAATTCACAGAAGAAGTTTGGGTATGTAGCTGGGTCAGCATGCGGAGGCTGCAAAGGAACAGGTAAAGGTTCATTCCCTTCTGAACAGAGAAGAAAAGAAACACAATGTTTCAGCTGTAGAACCTTCTCCTGGTATAAGAGAAAGAGGGGAAAGCAGCAGATCAATAAGGCACAGGAGAACACGAGGCAGAATAGTTAGGAACAGGCGGGGAGCAGGGAGGAAAGGGACATGAAGTGGGTGAGAATGAGAAAGGAGAATAAGAATGCACGTGCTTTCTTTGTAAACTTTATTTGAAGACTTTCAAATCATTCTTTATTCTCTACTTTGAACGGCCCAGAAGGAGTCTCAGAGAAGAAAAACAAGAATAATTACAGGTTTCAAAGGAATGCCATGCACAGTCAGGCTAAAGGAGTTGAGCCTCCTCAGTTGTGAACAGTACAGGAGATGAAGAGGTGCCTTCATCCTAGTACTGTATTCAAAGCCCTGAAAGCCTCAGAAAAGAAAACCTTGGGGCCCAAATGGAAATTATGAAATAATGTAATTAAGGTTGAAAATAAGATGCACATCTTCAGGCCACAAGAAAGTTCGAAAATGAGAGGAGTCCATTTGGCCCATTTATCTTTTCTTAGTTCCTTGTAGCAAATTGATCAGAAGATCTCATCCAGACATTTTGTGAAAGAGACAATGAAAATCTGCTACAAAAGCATGGCTGGTTCACTTGTTCCACACTTCCACAACGTTTCGGGTAAAGAAGTGCCTCCTGTTCTCAGGTTTAAATTCTCAGTTTTAAATGTGCTTCCCTTTAAACTCCGCTTGCTTCTTCCAGTTAGTGTTTCACTGTTTGTTCTGAAGACGCCTGCTACTTTTATCCATACTCTTCAGGGTGATTAATACTGGAATATTAATACTAGACTAAGTGCTAGAAACAGGTTTGGGCCTTTTGTCCTGTCAGAGTCAGACACTCAGTTGAGTCCACAAGATGTTCCCGGCTGCTCTTCTTTCGACTAATTCCAGAGCAATTATACCTTCTTTGTAGAACTGTGTCCAGAATTGTACAAAACAATCTAAATGAGATCCCAGCAATATATGGTACGATTTAATATAACATTTCTTGATTTTAGCTTTACATGTCTGTACTGTTAGCCATTTGCTGGGCTAAAATGCTGTTTTTTTTTCAAGCACAGTGTTTCTCATTTCATATTTGTAGTTAATAATTAAAAAAAAACTTTATTTTATATAGTGCCTTTAAAGGTGGCTTCTCAAAACGCTTTACAGAATGTCAACAACAATAAATAAAAAATACATAAGATAGAACACATATCCAATACACAGAGGAGATTATGGACGGTCGTACTAAGTACAGTAGGAGCAGAGGAGTAAAGAGTGGAACCAGTTAAGTAAAGGCTCTTCTAAAGAAGAAGGTTTTGAGTCTGGATTTGAAGGAGTTTAGAGAAAGTGACTCTCTGATATCCTTGGGAAGAGAGTTCTAGAGCTTGATGTTTTTTCTGCCTTCATCATAAATGAAACACTTACAGTACAGTACACCCGAAGAAGCCTCCACAGTCAAAACGTTGTGTTTCTTTTCTTCTCTTTTCAGCCTGGAATAAACCTTCACTTGTTCCTTTGCAGCCTACACATGCTGTCGCAGCTCCCTACTTCAACTACTTACAGCACATGTCAACTAATAACCTACGTATGTTCTTCCTTTTATTGTGCCTCAATTCTTTTGTGTTTCCTTTGCTGTTTCTATAGTCTTTTAGACCCATCCACACTTGGTACCATATTCTGATGTGTCTAGTCTACTCACTTGATCGATGAATCCTGAATTGATGAATTGATGAATTGAAGAATTGTGTTTGATTCCTTTCGCTTGCTCAAAGAACCCTAACAAGGTGGTTAAAGAAAATTAGGTAGTTAAGGAACTACATTTTCTAAATCTCTATTGATTATCCTACAAAATCCTATTGCTATACAGATAATCTTCTTGTTTATCTCTAATATTACTTTATCTTTACATGTAAGAATTGTTGTCCTGTATTTTATTCAGTTTTAATAAATTGGTGCCACATTTTTCAGTCAATAGGTAATACCCCTACCTGTATTTAATACCCTATACCTGCTACAATTGTCAATAAGTCAATAAATAATGGTCTGTGAAGGACAATGCTACTTTTCAGAGGCACTATTGCTATAATACTGTACAATCAGGACTTGAAGAGCTGTTTATTTTGAATGCTTTTAGTACCTGATGTTATCTGAGACACAATTTACTTAATACATCACATATTTCCATTTTACCATATTAAATTTAGTGATTATAATCTCTGTTGCTCTTTACTTAATTATTTTCCATTCTTTTTCTGTTAAGATTCTGCATGCAATATTCTATATCTACCATTTAATTAATACTTTTCCTTTTATCATTCTATAGCATGCTTATTTTCCCCTCGTGTTTTCTTGTATATGTTTATAAGACATTTGGGGCACTATTTTCTAAACTTTGATTTTCTTACTCTAGGGACCAACCTGTTCTGTGCTTCACTTTTCTTAAGCTCTATCTCCCTCCTTTATAGTCTGCTCTCCTGAAGTTGTTTTGGACTCTACCTGCACAGTTTTCAAACACACAATATTATGACAACAGTTCCTCTGTTCCTCTCTGTATCTTGACTGGTTGGAAAGACTAGCTCAATACAGGTGTGCCCTCCAGCAGGTGCTATGATAAGCTGAGTAATAAAGCAGACGATAGTCATATCTACCATTTTCCACTCCACATGCAAAAAGCTGAATAATAAGCACTTCTAACTTTACACATACAGTCCTAAGTTCATTCAAACAATTCATTCAATAATGAAAGTCTGAATTAGGTAGTCTTTAGCCCGTAATGAATATTTGTATAAATGTGACCCATATTAATTCTAATTCCTCTAGGTCAAGTTAGTGTGCCTGAATGCCTATTTCAATATATAGCACTACACTTTCCTCTCTCCAACTTTCCCATCTCTGTTTTGTTTGTTTTATTTATCACTACTACTCTCTGTGAGCCGTGTTTCAGTGTTTCCAGTTACACCATAACTTGTGTGCTGACAGTATCTTCTATTTCTTGAATCGTGTTACAAACAGTCCTGGCTCGGAGGTACAGTCTACATAATATACCTCATCCTTCGCTGTTTCATTGTCTCCCTGGTCCCTGTTTTTTTTTATCTCCGGTTACTGTGTATCTCCCTTGAGAGCTTTCTTTGGATTCTCCCCCCTTTTTCGTTCCAAGGGTAATGTTTGTGGATATTTTGTAGGACCTTCCCCCATGCCAACTGGTCCCCATCTCATCTAGCTGTAATTCCTCACGTCGGTACAGACAGCTTTC